TTTAATGTGGAGATAGTTGAGGAAATTTCCAGTTTTGGGAATGATTGTTTCGTATTCTTTAACGATTATAGTAATTTTTTTATGGTCGTATTTGACAACCAAATGACCCAAACGAACGTATTTAAAACCAGAGGACGACGACGACCAATTAAGACGATTAAAAATGTTAGTTTAGGACAAATTTATCTTTATTTCATTCTTTCTTTATAATTCAACTTTTTGCTCACAACAGTTGTATAATGTTATAAACTAAAATTTGATATAAAATATTTTGGTTCCAGGATAAAATTTGATAATCAATAAACAGAATATAAATTCTAAAATTTATTTTATATTAATCTTATTAAAAATATGAGATAAATCAGTAATTTAACTGCAAAGTAATAATACAGTATAAGTAAAATCAAATTCAAGAATAATTTTGGAAGAACAATACGAACCAATGCTCATTTCTGGAAACAACTAGTCAAACGACAAGAAAGGAATATCGGTTAATCTTTACCTACATGGACCGTGGCGACCGCACAGCGGGGACCCACATTCTAACCTAACCTATTCTAATAAATTACCAAATTATTGGTAATTATTTATATTTAAGTTTGTAATTGTTAGAGACTTTCGATAGAAAAACTATCCATTTTTTTATTATATTATTAAAGAACAGAGTTGTTTTTCATTACTCTCAATAACGCTACAAAAAATAAAAACAAATTATATTGTTTTTTACTTATCTTTTAGAAAATCACGTCCATTAAATATTTATTGTTTCAACGTAGGTATTTAGTAAGTTGCAATTACAATAACGATCATTTTTATACGATAACTGCTTAGAAAGCAAATTAACAAATAAGACACACAACCTCGTTAAGCAGCGAGCAGCTTAATAAGGTTGAAAATGTCTTAGTTAACATAATTATTTATAAGTAACAAGAGATGGAAATTAACAACGAATAAAAATAAATTACTTATATATTTTGAAATAATACGCGAGTCTACTCTGGTAGATTACAAGAACAAACGATGGTAAATAAGTCATTAGCAATAGTGTAAATACATTTAAGCTTCTGACAACGCTCGGTTACAGACTTTGTATATTTTATCCTCATTAATCATTTTAAATAATTGCTTTTAAAAGTATTTTACCCGACACTTAAATATTTGTTTCGGGAATTAAAATTCTGGTTACGTTTTTGGTAAATGAATATTCACTTTAACAAACATTTAAATATGAATAAACGTAAATTTCTTAATATTTACCAAATATTTGAGCTTTTGAATTTCACTTAAATTAAGCCAATCGTCGGTTATTCTGGATAAATACAAATACATTTTGTCTCTTTCATCTTATAACTTCTATAATAAGAGATGAATTCACTTTCAAAACCTTCGCTTCTCATCGTCACGTCAAAAAAATATCTCACATCCAACAAAGCCCAAGCACGCTATTTACTCCATTAAAGAGAAAAACTGACATAGCGATAATGGCACCACCTTACGTCCACCAAAATAATTACAATAGTAAAAAATATATAACATAATAATTAAATAGACACGTTCTAATCTTCTATATAAAATTTATTTATCTTTGCATTTTTAAAATACGTTTATTATGTTTTCTAAATTTTAACAGACTTTTCAAAAATTATTTCCGCTTTTTTTTTTTTTTAACAAGCCCATTACGAGTTCGACCAGGCTGACAATAGGACCCACTACATCCGGATGAATTACTCCGGAAAATTCCTGGAGCTTTTGACTCGTCGAGATTCGATACCGGGTTTCCCAGAGCGATAACCTTAGCCGCTTATCCGACAGTTAATTTTATTAACGCATCGACGTTGCTCGTAATTTACTGTACTTACAAGTTAGTTTGAACCGAGCGAATTAAATAAAATTGTTTATTTTTAAAAATAACAAATTCGACTGCAACAATTTCGAAAATTTCAATCAACGTTATGTATCGTCTAATTAATTAATTCTAACAAAAACATCTGAGATGTAAAAATTATGGCAATTTATGAGATTCAAATGTTTTTTCTTAGGAATTTTCTTTAATAAAGATAAGCTTATCTTTATTAATTTAAAGCTTTTTACCTGTACAAATCAAGCTCGATTCGTAGAAAACAACAACACGGGTAAAAATCCTCTGGATACCGCTTCAAAGAGCTAAGCTTATCTTTATCAAAGATAAGCGGTTAATAATATAAAAGTTATTTTTAAATTAAATTTCTTAACGGCCGGGAAAGTTGCGCGACTCGATGATGAATTTTTTTTTTTTTTTTTTTACTTGGAGCGGAGTCACTACCGTGACTCTCGATAACTTACTTTAAAGTTTAAATCTTAAAAATAATTATATAAACCTTTCAGAAATTCATTAATAGTACTTTGTAAACCTTTTTAATATACTTTCGTATCAATAGATATTATATTGAAATCATTACAAAAGTAAAAAAAAAAACTATTTCTAAACAATAATTATTAGAGAAGAACCTCTGTTTTATAGGTGATGTCATAATATTTGTAGCTGTATTTCGGTATTATTTGAATATACAAATCCAGAATTATGACATTACACTTTGTTAAAACATACTATTATTCGCTATACTTCTACAGTTTCGATAAAATTACTTTCAATAAAATATGCTATATTGCTTATTTATTTATTTATTTTCACAACGTTTACACAATGTCGATTACACGTAAATTTCAATCCAAAATAGCCCTCTCGTCCAATCACTTTGCACGTCTGCGGGCAACGCGTACCGAAGAAAATCGTAACACTTTCAATATCATTTAACTAAAGCTACTTAAAAATGAAAAAAATATTTTTTTCATTTTTAAGTAGCTTAAGAAAAAAAATTGCAAAATATTTACGCTGATTATTAGTCATTTTAGACTAATAATCAGCGTAAATATTTTGCAATTCAAAAAACGAACCTGTAAAATTTAATACTACATTAATAAAATTAGCGCGAATAATTATTAAATTTAGTAATATTAAAGAAACTCTCGACAGTTATAAATATTTTAAATGTATAACTTATAATTCTCCAATAACGGTCCCTGTAAAGGGCAGTCGTTTTTCAGAAATGTTTCCGTCGAAATTCAGAAAAAAAAACCTGTAAACAACGGCCATTTTTGTGTTCACAGGCTTGATTGTATTAGTGTAAAAATATTTGAAATATTTTTTAGTTTATATTAAAAGCTAAACTGCAAATAATTCGTTTTTATTGATAGTTGGCAGAAAGTCGCAAAGGTTTAGCAATTTCGTTTTATTTCGTAAAAATTATCTCTGATATAATATTGAACATATTAATTTCTCAACAAAATACTTAAAAATTGTTCTTGCCATTTTAAAGCGATTGACAATTGGATACAAGAAAAAGTTTAGAAAAAATAAATAAAAAGTAGAGCAAAATAAACTAGTAATTAGCGTCGAATGAATCATTTACGGCGCCCAAATAAACAAATAGTTTTGAAAGTAAGCATAGAAAATATATAAAGAAGTGATAAAAATAGATTATAGAAGAATTTTTGTTGACTCTGAAAATTATTTATCGCTGTTTACTTTAAGTCAAATTGGAGCGATACTCTTTCGATATTTTCTCTACTATTACTTTTAATTTTATTTCTTTATTTTTTCAATTAATGCTATTAATTTATTCTTGCAGTGGTTTGGCTGAATAAATTAGCTTTTCGTTAATAGTAGTCTAGCATCTGTCTAAATTTTATTTGTAGTATCACAAACTAACAAACAATTCTCACAAAGAGATATTTTAACTGGAATGAGTGTTTTACTTCTTCGGCTGCGATGTATATAAGTTGTATAACAAAATGAAATGTAATCGTGTCAATTTGACTCTCTCGGTTTTCTGTAAATCTCCCGCACCCAAAAAATGAAAAACAGGGAAAATGTCAGTGTGTGTTTTGGTGTCTATTTCCTATAATATCTCGGGCTAGCGCGGAGAGTAAGGAAAGAAATTTGGCGCGGTAACTTGTATATAAGAGACATTAATGCTGTTAAATTTTGGTGGTTAGCAATCGAGAGGTGGTCGCGCGTCGTATCTCGAGTGGAGTTGGACTTAATGAAAATTCTACTCGTTATTGGCATTTATACTGTTAGTATTTTTAAAAACGCGTGTTTATCATCAAAGTTTTATGCCTTTTTATAAATTTAAAGAATTCTATTAAAAAATGTTCGATCCTGACGATGGCATCGATAGCCGAAAGCGTTAGATGAATAAAAACATAATTGCTGGAATAGGCTTTTTTTTTATCTAAGTACATCTCGTAACAGATGACGCTACACGCAATTTTAACTTTGTGTTTATGTCTCACTCGTTCGTGTTTCTTAAGCATAAAATTTCGGTATCGAGCGTTAGTAGATTTTTATGCTTAAGAAACACTTAACGAGATAATAATAAATAAACTTTCAAATCTTTTGCATTATTTACAGCAGCGAGTTTAAAGATATGGTAAGAAATCCTAAGTCAGTAGGAGGACCAAATTATGTAATAGACTTTGGTATGATGCTCGAGTAATGTTGTTTCTTAGATAGATTTAAGAAACAATTGGAATTTTTTAAGGCTTAAGTAAAATAAAGAAATTTCCGTATCTTATTTTAAACGATTGCATTCGATATATTTAAATTGAACAAAATAAAATTTATTTCAAAATGAAAAGAAGCTGAATGTAACGTTGTTATAGTGTATAAAATCAAACCAAACCAACTACTCTTATCCATTAGAAAATGGTTCTGGAAAAAGCCATTTGATTACTAGACTAAAAATCTAACAATTCCGTTATCTACTGTTCGGAAATACAAGTAGGAACATCCGATTTTATGGACGGCCGGCTGGCTCTCTTTCTACCTCTACTACGTTGTTTTCGAGATCTTAGCTCCTTTCCACGCTCGAATTTTTCACCGTCTTACTCCTAGATCGACTCGTCCTCTCGCTCTTTCTATCGACCTTCTCTTTGATCTTCTTTTAGACTTAACTTACCGCGTTTTCCAGGTCTTGGGCGTAGTGTCTGTACAGATTTTTGTCTCATCCTCTTCAGTTTCTGGTCGAGAGGACTCGTCTTCATTATTTTTATATGATTCCGACTCGGCTTTCTTCGAAACGATTAGAAGCCGAAGAACGGAATTCGATGTTTTCCAACGATATTTTAAAATAATCGCCTTCTCTAATGCTTGAAACTTGATTTGAAACATAATTTCTATAATTTGAATACAGTAGAACCTCCATTATCCGGACCTCCATTATCCGGATTTTCGATTATCCGGATTGTTCAAAATAAACAAAAATTTTACGAATTTGCTGATTCGCACTTGGCAAATTATGACATTGTTTATGTACGTAATGGAATGCATAATTTTTTTGTTTCAACAACGTCTCACCCAGCACAGTGGTAGTAAACTCTTAAATATATTTTACGTAGTAATAAAAATATAACTTGACATACGTATTTATAAATAATTTATATTCAAATTACATCATTTCTATGACCAAGGGCGGCGTAAGGCATGG